GCTAGACAATAGCACCCTGACTGCCATTAGGTACTGGGATGAAATCCTTTGACCCATTGTCAGACCCTACGCTGGTGCAGTGGGTCCTGGGTTCCTCCTGGTACATGACAATGCCCAGCCTCATGTGGCAAGATTATGCAGGCAGTTCTTGGAAGATGAAGGAATTGATACCATTGAATGGCCCCCCACACTTGCCCGACCTAATTCAATAGAACACTTCTGAGATATCATGTTTCGGTCCATCCGACGCCGCCAGGATGTACCTCCGACTGTCCAGAAGCTCAGTGATGCCCTGGTCCAGATCTGGGAGAAAATACCCCAGGACACCATGACACCATCCGTCATCTCATTACGAGTATGCCCCGACATTGTCAGGCATGCATACAGTCCTCTCTAGGTTGATAGTTTGGGATGGGGCATCTTTACGTTCCGAACACATTACCCAGTTCATATCAGTATAGAGATCCAGGATAATATTTTTCCCCATTGAGATCTGATGTGTTTTCAAAGTATTCCTTATATTTTTTTGAGCAGTGTATGTGATTGGCAGGATTCTGTTTTCTTCAAACAGGGTTGCAGAAGAATTTGGCTATTGGTACCATTAAGGGCTAGGTTTTAGCATTGGCTATTTTTTTCCAAAGGCCCGTTGTGTCTCACTGTTTGGTCTGCACTTTATTTTACAAGGAGTGATGTCAGCTTCTTTGTGTCCTTTGGACCTGAATTTGATTTTGGTGATTTTGCAAAAGCCCTGTTGAGTCATAAGGTGTTTTTTTCTAGTGGCAATCACTTCTGCGAGAAGGGTGTTGGAGCTGGCAGCTCTATCTTGCAGAGAACCATTTCTGGTTTTGCATCATGATACGGTGATGTTGCGACCTCATCTCTGCTTTTTACCAAAGGGTTTCTGGTTTTCACCTCAGTCAGGGCATAGCTCTGCCTTCATTCTTTCCTAGGCCTCAGACAACAAGAGAAAGATCTCTGCATATCTTGGATGTGGTTTGTGTTGTAAATGTCTTTTTGAAGGCTATAGCACAGGTCAGGAAGTCATATGCTCTATTTGTGCTGCTTGAGGGGCCTAGGAAGGGGCTGGCGGCTTCCAAGGAGACTATTTCTCATTGGATCCATCAAGTGATCATTCAGGCCTGTGGTTTGAAAGGTAAAGTCCCACCCTTTTGGGTGAAGGCACACTCCACCAGGAGTGTGGGGGCATCTTGGGCAATCCACCATCAGGCGTCCGTGGCTTAGGTTTGCAAGGCCACTACATGGTCTTCGGTTCACACATTCACAAGGTTCTACCAGGTGGATCTCAGTGCCGCAGAGGATTCTGCCTTTGGCTGCAGTGTTTTATGGATGGCTGAATAGGTTCTGAGGGATTGATGGTGGCTATCATGGTGTCACACTCACCTCAAATGTCTTATTGCTTTGTGGGACATCCCACATAGTCATGAATAGCCTGCTCTGTGTCCTGTGATACGATAAAGAAAATTGGATTTTTTCTACATGCTTACCTGTAAAATCCATTTCTTGGAGTACATCACGGGACACAGAGGTCCCACCCCTCTTTCTGGAATGTCATTGCTTGCTACAAAAACCGAGGTACTTCCTGCATAGGAGAGGTTATATAGGAGGACCTCCTCTCTGATTGGTCGGCCAGTGTCCATTCGCCTGTTGGCGGCCTATAACCCACATAGTCACGAATAGCCTGCTCTGTGTCCCATGATGTACTCCAAGAAATGGATTTTATAGGTAAGTATGTAGAAAAAAAATCCAATTTTCTTTGAGTGAGTGCCCCCCCCCCCCCCCCCCCCCCCCCCAAAAAGGTGGGCTTCCAGATTGCAATAGGCCCTTGTCCCCATTTTTGCTTTTTAGTTCCTACTAAAAAAAAATGGTACAGATTTTAAGGGGAGCCCCATGCAAAACAAAATAGCGCGGGGTTCCTCTTAAAAACTACCAGGCTTGAAGGGCCTGATAAGGATTGGGGAGGAACCCATGCTGTGTGTTGTGGTGTTTTTTTTTTTTTTTTTACTGGCATTCTTTTGTTTACATTTGCCAGCCTGCTCTTTCACAACCAGCTATTCACAGGAGAGGAGGAGTAAAAAAAAGACAGCTGGATTCACGTTCACAACTGGTGACGTGCTTTTTAGAATCGGTTCCATACAAGTCAATGAGCCTGTACAGGGATGCTGAATTCCTATCGCCCGACACCCAGGACATGCAGCTCCGGGCGCCGGGCAAGAAGTTTTTTTATACATTTAGCCCTGCTGCGGGCAAGCAGCAGGGTTTAGAGCCAACAGTCTAAAGCGATCCAAGCGGCTGCAGGCTGTTCGGACGTCTGTGAATCCCCCTCCCACTTGGCGGAGGCACTCTCTGGTCCCCCCCCGCGCTGCTTCCCATTATTGCCACCAGGTGTCCTCTGTGTTCAGCAGCTCTCCATAAGAATGCAATCAGGAGAACACCTGGCTCTGACTAGTGGCGCTCTCCACCAATGTATTTCTTTTGAGGTTGCCTGTGGGGTTTTCTTTGAATCCCGGACAATTCTTCTGTCAGTTATGACTGCAATCTTTCTTGTTCTACCTGACCTTGGCTTGGTATCAACAGATCCACTTCTTAATAAGTGATTTAACAGTACTGATTGGCATATTCAAGGCTTTGGACATCTTTTTATGTCCTTTTCCATCTTTCCATTACCTTGTTACGCAGGACTTTTGACAGTTCTTTTCTGATCCCCATGGCTCAGTATCTAGCCTAGTCAGCGCTTCCACGTAAGAGCTAACAAACTCATTGACTATTTATACATTGACACTAATTGCAATTTAAAAAGCCACAGATGTGGGACATTAACCTCTAATTGGCATTTTAACCCGTGTGTGTCACCTTCTGTGTCTGTACCAAGGCCAAATATTCCAGGGTATGTAAACTTTTGATCATGGCCATTTGGGTGATTTCTGTTATCATTATGATTTAAAAAGGAGCCAAACAACTATTTGATAATAAATGGCTTCATATGATCATCATCCTTTAATAAAAGAGCATGTTTTGGCATGATCAGTCATATTTTCAGTGTCAAAATTCCACAATTTCTGCCAGGGTATGTATTATTTTGAGAGAGAGAGAACATTTTATTTATTTTTTTATTAATTTATATATCTTTTATTTTTTTTAATTAATCTTGTTTGTTATTATCTGCAGATTATTTTATGTAATACATTTTTTATCTTTTTATTTCATTTTTATAAAAGCTATCTTTTTATTTATTTTGATATTTTTATTTTATATTTATATTTGCATTTATTTTTGTTGATGTAATCAGAATATTGTTGTTTTTAGTTTTTATTTGCATTTTTTATATATACTTATTTTTGTTGGTAATATCTGATTATTATGTGCAGATTATTATATATTTGTTATTATTTTATTTATTTTTTAATTATTATTATTTACATTTTAAATGTTTGCCGTTATAATTCTGTTATTGTTATCTGCAGCCTTGTACTGTCCGAGTCCCATCCACTGGGAGGGGAGACAGAGCCTGTCCAATCCGGGACACCCCGAACAACAAGGCAGTGCTTCTGCTGGCTGATCATAGAGGCAGACAAACACCAGCACCACTCTGTCTGTCTCTATGATATAAGAAACAGGAAGCAATGAACATACATCACTTTCCCGGATGACATAGGCGCCATTTTAAAAATGGAAAGCATTTGATCACACCTATCTTGAGGGTTCCCTCTTGAATTCTCTGGGAGGATAGAGTCCCCTGTCATGGAGGATTGTCATGTCTCCAATGGCTTTTAACTGTCTATGGTGCATAATAAAATTCTTTTGAGGTTAGCCTTTTAGGTGTGCAACCTTTTTTCTTCCCCATTTTTTTGTTTATGTACTTTGATCACCCAGGGGGTAATGTAATTTTTCTCAACAAAAGAGGAGTTACTCTTTAAATAGATGTGTATTGATGCATTTGTCCTTGTTGCATATAATTCCTAACTTCCTGTGTGGTGAAACATCTTTTCACAGATCATATAGTGAGGGGAAATCTCTCCAAATGAGCCCCAGATAACAGGAAAACTTGACAGAGGTTCTAACATTTCCCTATTCTATCTAACGTTAAAAAGAAAGAGGATTGAGGTATAGATTCACTTTTTATATTCATCTTTAATTCAAAAATTTCCCCACAGTACTTCTTTTCCATCGCTAGATGTCCTCAGTCTGACATACAGAATCATTCAACCTGATTCCTCTGAGCCCAGACTGTTTGGGACCCATGATGTCTCATTAACCACTTGCTGACTGTACATACATATACGGCTTGCTAGCAAGTGGTTATACAGAGATCATATCATGGTACTGTATTTTACAACCCATGATCAGCTGTCTAGAAAAAGTGCCCCAGGCAGTTCTACAGCTGCCCAATCACTTTTATGGTACCAAAAAGGGCTGCCCCACGCTCACCGCTACCTGCAGTGGTTCCTGGGCTCTTCTGTTCCTTTGGTGAGCCGAGCGCCATGGTAAGCAGCTGGGATCACATCACACAAAGGAAGTTGAGTAACATCCATTCCTTGATCTCCACTGTGACTAATGATGATGATTTCTGTGACTGACAGTTTACTTTCTAGCAAAATGTATAAATATGCTGAATATAACAAAAAAAACAAATCCCAATTAAAAGAGCTAGGTAGCAAGCAAATCTAAAGCAGGCCATAGATGGTACAATTTTCTTTCCTTCCACCGCAGGATTGATCGACTTAAGTAAAACTAGCCTGCGCATAGATTGATCAATTCTCTGCCAGTCCCTGCTAAACTGGCCGACATTCGATCCATCTATGGTCGGTTTAAGGCTTTTTATCTTTACTACAGTCTACCCAATTACGAAAAAAAATTAGACGGGCTACAGATTTTTCATTACCCCAGTAAGGAATAATCAATTCAAAAGCATGTCTTGTCTTGTTTACTGAGTTTTTGTTCCTAAAGTACTATAATCTGCACTTTGTCATTTGTTTATACAGGTTTTATGAAGAAACAGAGACAGTGAAATACAAGTTTGGACCGCTCTTACTTCGGGTGTGCTATGTGTTAGATCTAGTAGATACTGCATTTGAACTGTTGATGGACAAGGTAAATTATACACAACAAATGGAGAAACTGAGCAGTGTAATAGTGCATATACATTTCTATCTTTGCTGTACTTGAATAAGTCTAAAAGATCTGGTTTAGAATATATTATTATTATTATTACATCGAGTTTATATAGCGCCAAAGGGTTTACTCAGCGCTGTACAATAGAGGGGGGAACAATACAAGAAACAGAACAGCAACAACAACAGTACACGAGGGGTTAGAGGGCCCTACTCTTTCGAGCTTAAAATCTAGGAGGGAGGGGGTAGTAGCACAGGAGGAAGTGGCTGTGGGGGATGGAGTGGTAGGAGGAATGAAGGAGAACGGCTGTTAGGTGAGGGAGGGGTAGGCTTCCCTGAAGAGGTGGGTTTTCAGGGAGCGCCTGAAGGTGAGGAGGGAAGGTGACAGTCTGATGGATTGGGGCAGTGAGTTCCAGAGGATGGGGGAGGACCTGGAGAAGTCTTGCAGTTGTGCATGGGAGGAGGAGACCAGAGAGCAAGGTAGAAGGAGGTCCTGTGAGGAGCGAAGGGTACGGGTAGGGTGGTACTTGGGAATCCGGTTGGTGAGGTAGCTAGGGGCAGTGTTGTGAATGGCTTTGTAGGTTAGGGTTAGTAGTTTGAATTTGATGTGTTGGGCAATAGGGAGCCAGTGGAGGGATAGGCAGAGGGGGGTGGCAGAGGTGGAGCGGTTGGTGAGGTGAATGAGTCTGGCTGCTGAGTTCAGGATAGACTGGAGTGGGGATAGCCTGTGTTGGGATAGGCCGGTGAGAAGGGAGTTGCATATATAGAGTTTACAGTGTATTCGTGGGAGAAGTAAACTGCATTCATCCATCTGATTAGGAACTACGAGCCACATAACAGCCAGGTCCGTAGTAACTATTCTTAAACATCTGCTCCCATATCAGTCATATATAGGCTGACCATCACAAAATAGTATATTCTTGAATAAAGAACATCATCTTGTGGCGTGGCACTTTGTGTTAGTGCTGTAAACATACATTGATAAGCATACATAGACCAGCATACATTGTCCAAGAACAACTTTGGCAGTTAATAAAATCAGTCCTTGCAATGCTATTGGAATCTTGGAAACCTCAGCTTTGTGCTCATGTCAGTCTAGTTAGCTTAAAGCTAAATTCAGGAAGATATGAAAGATGCAAATAAATGCAACCCTGTATTTATTAATAAAATATTAAAGCAGAGCTAAATTTACCTTTCCTTTGGTCTCTGTCCATCACCAGCACTGGCATCTTCTCCTGTGTACCTATCTTTAGCCGTTTTCAATGAGCCTCTTGCAGTCCCTGTATAGCAGTGTGTGGACTGGGTGAGGAAGGAACACAGGAGTAGCAAGCCAGATGTGCTGCAGTGCTATTTGTGAACAAAGGACATGCCTATAGGAAATGAGAGCAGAGTGATGGAGAGTTGGGCTCAACAGACTGCTGCTGCTTCTCTTTTAAATGCCCTTTTACTGACTTAAATCCAGTCTCCTTCCCCTGTATAGGACAGCTGTGTAAATTTCAAGTGGCCAGAAATATAGATTATTCAGAAGGTAAAAGAGATCACACATACTGTATATATTCTGTTTTTCTAGAGTCTTGTGTAGTCAGTTGCCATGATTATGCACAATTGGCCCTAAGGGCTTGTTCACTGGCTTGTTCACACTTGACTAAATTAACAAATGCTACTATAGTGTTGGTATGAGTGTTAGCCAGGCATTAATGAGCTTTAGTATGGTTGTTAGGCATTTTACAAGCAATAAAAATCCTCCTCAAATGCCCTATTTACAGCTATGAAGTGTTTTATAAGTGTCAAACTGACAGTCACCACTCTGCTCACAGCAGCAGTGGTCATGTGATCACTGAGTTCTCACACTTAGAGCCGGCGGAGGACCAATGCTGCATCCACCTAGGTAAGTATAGGTTTGCCCTGAAACTGTATTGTGTGATAATCCGCCTCCAGTCATTTAACATTTTGTGCCCTGTGTACAAGTTTAGAATATTGGACGAATGATCACCTGTTTTTTTCTGCATGCTAGTCTGTTATCAAAAGTGAAGAGGTTACTAAAGTTACGAAAATTCTTTAACGACAGAATAAAAAGTCCGAAGAATGTAATGTATTCGTATTGTATTGTCGAACGACTACTCTGCTGATTAAACAAAAATTGTACGATCTGGTATCGTACGGTAACATTTTTATGCTTGTTCCTTCTGTTTTTTTTTTCAGACGATTGCTGTGTACTAACGATCACATTACCGTACGATCGCTTTAAAAGTGGCATTTTTTTGTGTACGATATTCTGATGGTGTATATGGGGCTTTATACTTCCTGACTGATAATTCCTTTCTGTTTTATTCCTTGTTCAGTCTTTCAGGGGGGCGTTGTCTGATCCCGTATCATACAATTTATTGTTGGACTTGCTGTACAAACATGGCCAGTATGAAAGTAAGTTGACCTGCTGTCATGTCTGTCACACCATAGTGTTGGATGAAGCTGAAGGGTGCATGGACATTATTACGGTTGATTTACTAAAACTGAAGAGTGCAAAATCTGGTGCAGCTCTGTGTAGAAAACCGTCAATCAACTTCTGTACAACCAACCTGTTAGAAAACATCATCAGAGCCACCAGCTATAGCTGGCGGCACTGATCAATTAATGATTTTCCGACAGCAATGTCAGAATACATTTGCTCTGTGGGAGGAGTTCCCTCATCCACTTCAAATGTGTGGATGGGGGAATCAATTCATTTTCTTACATTCAACCCACTGGTTGAAAAAAGAAAATTAACCATGTATGGCCAGCCTAGTGCTGAGTACACAGGATCCGAATATTCAATATTTGGACTGTGCGTGCAGCTGTCTGTCCAACAGAAGCCGCACCAATGACTGGCTTTTGTCGAAGGGACATGCTGGAAAACCAGCATCTGACCAGCAGCCGATCAGTGCTGGCAGCCAGTGGCTGTGAGCGCTGATCAGTGTTTTTTGATGAGGTGGCTGTCCCGATATATTTAGTACAGCGACCTCTCTCTTTTTTTTTTTTTTTCGTTCAGCCCGCTGGTTTAAACAAAAAAAAAAAAAACTGGTGTTTACCAGGCTTAAGCCATTGCCCACAATTACCAGCAGCATTATCAGACTGCTGTGCAAACTTCTTCAGTTCGCCATTGGGCTCCTTATCTGACCTGATAGGTGGCCAAGCTGCTAACTGAAGGAGTATAGGTGGCAAGCTGACAGCACTGACATTGGTTTAGCCTTGTCGGCCTGCAAGAGAAAGTGCCAGATCTCTAGGTAACTTTGCAACAGATTAGCAGAAAAAAGTATATTAAAGAATTGCTTAAGAAAACTTTATATATTAAAGGCTCCTTCACACCACTCTAGTTGAACTGTGTTAATCTGCATACACCAACGCAGGCTGAGGTCCAGGACATTTGTTTTCCTGTTCCCATCATTATGTAGCATTGAGGTGAGTTGTGGTGCATGGAAGTAATTTTATGACATTTCAATAAAAATGAAAAAAATGTAAACAGTTCTTAACATTGCGACAACCCACTGGTCCTACACAGTGGACAGCAGTCTAGTGTACGGAATGGTGTGAAGCAACCCCAAGACATGATGCCAAACATACTAAAAAAGGTTTTGTATTTACATACACTTTAACCGCTTCCCGCCCGCAATGTACTGCGGCAGGGCTGCAGCTACAGGCAAAGAGACGTACCCATTAAGTCGCTCTGGCTGTACTAACACGGGGGAGCTGCGCGCCCGATCCAGCGATCAAAGGGTTAACATGAGGGGAGATCAAAGGGTTAACTGTGCTTTTTTACAATGTGTTTTGTCCGTGTGCTTCACTGTAATCACACTGCTTTGCATGGCTTATTTATTTCAGGTACTTATATAGCGCCGTCAATGTACGCAGCGCTTTACATATATATTGTACATTCAAATCAGTCCCTAACCCTCAAGGGGTGTACAATCTAAGGTCCCTAACTCACATTCATACATACACATACTAGGGCCAATTTAGACAGGAGCCAATTCACCTTCTAGCATGTCTTTGGACTCTGGGAGGAAACAGTACCCGGAGGAAACTCACACAGGCACAGGGAGAACATGCAAACTTCAGGCAGGTGGTGCAGTGGTTGGGATTCGAACCAACATATATGTGTATGTACGGTATCTCACAGAAGTGAGTCCACCCCTCACATTTTTGTAAATATTGTATTCTATCTTCACGTGACAACAATCAAGAAATGACACTTTGCTACAATGTAAAGTAGTGAGTGTACAGCTTGTATAACAGTGTAAATTTGCTGTCTGCTCAAAATAACTCAACACACAGCCATTAATGTCTAAACTGCTGGTAACAAAAGTGAGTACACCCCTAAGTGACAATGTCCAAATTGGGCCCAAAGTGTCAATATTTTGTGTGGCCACCATTATTTTACAGCACTGCTGTAAACAAGAGGGTTACTCTTGGGCAGGGAGTTCACCAGAGCTTCACAGGTTGCCACTGGAGTCCTCTTTCACCCCTCCATGACGACATCACGTAGCTGGTGGATGTTAGAGACCGTACGCTCCTCCACTTTCTGTTTGAGGATGCACCACAGATGCTCAATGGGGTTTAGGTCTGGAGACATGCTTGGCCAGTCCATCACCTTCTTTAGCAAGGCAGTGGTCGTCTTGGAGGTGTGTTTGGGGTCGTTATCATGTTGACGTACTGCCCTGCGGCCCAGTCTCCGAAGGGAGGGTATCATGCTCTGCTTCAGTATATTACAGTACATGTTGGCATTCATGGTTCCCTCAATGAACTGTAGCTCCCTAGTCCCTGGCGCCACTCATGCAGCCCCAGACCATGACACTACCACCACCATACTTGACTGTAGGCAAGACACACTTTGTACTCCTCACCTGGTTACTGCCACATACGCTTGACACCATCTGAACCAACTCAGTTTATCTTGGTCTCATCAGACCACAGGACATGGTTCTGGTAATCCATGCCCTTAGTCTGCTTGTTTTCAGCATACTTTTTTCTGGCTTTCTTGTGCATCATCTTTAGAAGAGGCTTCCTTTTGGGATGACAGAAGGATGCAGTGTGCAGCGTATGGTCTGAGCACTGACAGGCTGACCCCCCCCCCCCCCCCACCCCTTCAACCTTTGCAGGAATGCTGGCAGCACTCATACGTCTACTTCCCAAAGACAACCTCTGGATATGACGATGAGCATGTGCACTCAACTCCTTTGGTCGACCATGGCGAGGCCTGTTCTGAGTAGAACCTGTCCTGTTAAACCGCTGTATGGTCTTGGTCACTGTGCTGCAGCTCAGTTTCAGGGTCTTGGCAATCTTCTTATAGCCTAGGCCATCTTTATGTAGAGCAACAATTCTTTATTTCAGATCCTCAGAGAGTTCTTTGCCATGAGTTGTCATGTTGAACTTCCAGTGACCAGTATGAGAGAGTGAGAGCGATAACACCAAATTTAACACACCTGCTCCCCATTCACACCTGAGACCTTGTAACACTAATGAGTCACATGACATCGAGGAGGGAAAATGGCTAATTGTGCCCAATTTGGACATTTTCACTTAGGTGTGTACTCACTTTTGTTGCCAGCAGTTTAGACATTAATGGCTGTGTGTTGAGTTATTTTGAGGGGACAGCAAATTTACACTGTTATACAAGCTGTACACTCACTACTTTACATTGTAGCAAAGTGTCATTTCTTCAGTGTTGTCACATGAAAAGATAGAATAAAATATTTACAAAAATGTGAGATACTGTATGTGTGTATATATACAGTGGGGATCGAAAGTTTGGGCACCCCAGCTAAAAATTTGTATTAATGTGCATAAAGAAGCCAAGGAAAGATGGAAAAATCTCCAAAAGGCATCAAATTACAGATTAGACATTCTTATAATATGTCAACAAAAGTTAGATTTTATTTCCATCATTTACACTTTCAAAATAACAGAAAACAAAAAAATGGCGTCTGCAAAAGTTTGGGCACCCTGCAGAGTTAATATCTTGTACTGCCCCCTTTGGCAAGTATCACAGCTTGTAAACGCTTTTTGTAGCCAGCCAAGAGTCTTTCAATTCTTGTTTGAGGTATCTTTGCCCATTCTTCCTTACAAAAGTCTTCCAGTTCTTTGAGATTTCTGGGCTGTCTGTCACGCACTGCTCTTTTAAGGTCTATCCATTGATTTTCAATTATGTTGAGGTCAGGAGATTGTGAAGGCCATGGCAAAACATTCAGTTTACGCTTCTTGATGTAATCCCCCATGGATTTCGAGGTGAGTTTAGGATCATTATCCATTTGTAGAAGCCATCCTCTCTTTAACTTCAGCTTTTTCACAGATGGCATCAAGTTACCATCCAAAATTTGCTGAAATTTTATTGAATCCATTTTTTCCTTCTACTCGTGAGATGTTCCCTGTGCCACTGGCTGCAACACAACCCCAAAGCATGATTGATCCAACCCCATGCTTAACAGTTTGACAGAGGTTCTTTTCATTAAATTCTGTGCCCCTTCTTCTCCAAACGTACCTTTGCTCATTCCGGCCAAAAAGTTCAATTTTAACCTCATCGGTCCACAGAACTTGTTTCCAAAATGCATCAGGCTTGTCTATATGTTCATTTGCAAAGTTCAAACGATGATTTTTGTGGTGAGGACGTAGAAGAGGTTTTCTTCTGATGACTCTTCCATGAAGACCATATTTGTACAAGTATCTCTTTATAGTGGAATAGTGTACCACAACTCCAGTGTCTGCCAGATCTTTCTGGAGGGATCGTGCAGTCAAACGTGGGTTTTGAATTGTTTTTCTCACAATCCTGCGAGCTGTTCTGTCTGATATTTTTCTTGGTCTTCCAGATCTTGCTTTAACTTCCACTGTTCCTGATGACTGCCGTTTCTTAATTATATTCCGAACAGAGGATATTGACATCTGAAAACGCTTTGCTATCTTCTTATAGCCTTCTCCAGCTTTGTGAGCGTCAACTATTTTCAGTTTCAGTTTTCTAGACAACTGCTTAGAAGAACCCATGGTGCTGATTGTTGGGGCAAGGTCAGATGAGTCTGGGCATTTAAAACCTTTGGGATTGACATCACCTGGTCTTCCCAGATGATGATTGAGAACAATCCATGACACTGGCACGTCTCAGGTTGGCAAAGGAGGCAGTGCATGCTATAATTTCTGCAGGGTGCCCAAAACTTTTGCAGACGCCATTTTTTTGTTTTCTGTTATTTTGAAAGTGTAAATGATGGAAATAAAATCTAACTTTTGTTGACATATTATAAGAATGTCTAATCTGTAATTTGATGCCTTTTGGAGATTTTTCCATCTTTCTTTGGCTTCTTTATGCACATTAATACAAATTTTTAGCTGGGGTGCCCAAACTTTCGATCCCCACTGTATATGTGCGTGTGTATATATATATATATATATATATATATATA